CTCCACACAAAACTTCGGTGCTCTTTGTCTACACCATCTATACTCCCATTTGCTATTGCCTGTTGTCTGTCTAAATCAATTTACTCGACCGAACCAAAATGAGAGTGGAGAGTAATACGTCGCGAACAAACCGTTTTATTCGACCCCTAAAAACGCCCTCCCCCTCCCTTGTTTTTCTAGGCACACTGACCCTCTCTGTCCGAGACCGCGAGGTGGACAGCTCCCTTCACGCAACGGATACGGTGAAGCACTACCGCGTGAAGCACATTGACGGCGGCGGCTTCTACATCACCACCAAACGCGGTTTTCCCACCCTGCGCGACCTGGTTGAACACTACTCAGCCGACGCCAATGGTCTCTGTTGTCGCCTCACCCGGCCCTGTCCTCGTCCTCCGCCCCTCACTACTGACCTCTCGGTGCAAACGAAGGACCATTGGGAGGTGCCTCGGAAGTCGATATCATTTGTGGAACAGCTTGGCTCCGGCCAGTTTGGCGAAGTCTGGAAAGGTTTGTCTGCCAGTTTCAATACTTATAATATATTTATTAATAAGCGCACTTCTTTAGGAACAGCATAACGATCGTTACGTAAATTTTTCAGACTGGTCTCCCAGCTCGTCATCAGACAACAGAGAGATATACAGGGAAACTGTTTGCTTAAAACGACACCGAACGCAAGATTCTTCAGTTAGCCAGAGTGTGAGCCAATGAGCATCACCTGCGTTTAATTATCCGATCAATGGAGGCTGTTTATCTTTCAATCTGACCGTGAGAAGTTTGGAATTGGCATCTAAATCGATATGCCTATTAATGCATGCCTCGTCTGAGTGTATTGTCTCCAGGAATTCGCGACTCCTCATAGTTGGGCAGACACCAACAGTTTGGGTTCTCTGCCTCGCAAGTTTGTGTCTCGTGACCCTGGCAACTTAGGTTAGGTGGTTTCGTCTCCCCACTGCTGACTGGTGTTCACGTATACGGGTGAATAGAGTTTTCCTGGGTCGGCCACAATAGACGGTGTCACAACTGGTACATGGTATTTTGTAGACGATTTCTTTACGGTTGAAGTAGCCAACCATGCCCTTAGGGTATAAAATCTGGGTATTTGTAGACTTGTGCGCTATTTGTATTAGGTGTTTTCCTGGCTGTCTTTCGATGAACTGGGATACATTCCTTACACATGGGAGCAGTCACCAGTTTGTTGGTTTTAGCATTTCAGGGTTCGCAGTGCTGAAAATATCATTTTCTTTGAAATGTTTTTGTCGTGTGCATCGACAAACAACGTCCAGAGGATACCCCTGTTGGGAAAATAATTTGAAAAGTTTTTTATTTCTGTTCAATATGCTTATTTATGCGAGCAGTGCGTTTTCACTCGACTAAGCAAGTTTTAATAGATTTACGTCTGTGAGGCATTGCATGGTTACTCCACTAGCTTATCAAAAAAAACTAGGGTGACCGGGAGGCCCACTTCTGGCTTATTAGTCGTCATTGGCCATTTATACGCAATCTCACCCTTGCAACACCTGAAGCACTCGCCGCTAGGCTATATCCCCTCCGAAATTTATTATTTTAACCCTCTAAGTGGCTTCATGGAGTCATCGCCATAAGGTTCTACCAAAGGACATTCGCATTTTTATTTGTGCTTCCTACTTTAACATCCCTTTCAAAATGTTAGTACAAGAGTGAAGAAGCGGCAACGTCACGATACTTGCCGCAGGTGCGATGGGCCGGTGATGTGTTCACGATCAAGCAGGTGCTTGGGCAGAATGCGCCGGTATGGAGGTGCAGAAGGAGAAGGATTGTGAGTCTCTTCGGTCAGTAAGAATGGGAATTCCTCATTAAGTTGGTTTGGCGGATTTAGTTAATTTAGTTGACCCAATTGTGAAAAA